TTGAAATTTTATATATAATAAATTCTATTTACCAGCATAACCAACACCGAGTGATCGTTTCATAACAACAACCTATAAATCGTAATGAAAAGTTTTTTTTTTTGAATTGTAAAATAAAACAAACTTTACTTGTTTAGAAAGCCAAACTCGAAGTACAGGCATACCAGCAATAATACTATTTGGATCTTCTTCAGCAGCTGAATTAACTGTATCATTTGCACCAATGACAAGAACAAGATCAGTATTAGGAAATTCATGATTAATTTCTTCCATTTCATGAACTATATCATAACTAACACCAGCTTCAGCTAATAAAACATTTAATTGACCTGGCATTCGACCAGCTACTGGATGAATAGCAAAACGTACTTGTTTACCATGTTTTCGTAATATATCAACCATTTCAGCAATTGGATATTGAGCCTAGATGAAAAAAGAACACAAAAACATTTACATTTTTATCTTTCATTATTCTAATCAGAAACTGTCATTACGACAAGATACAGCAAAATAGTTTACTCTACTAACGAGTTTTATTCATAACGGTGTGCTGTAGAAAAGCATAAAGGAAAACATTGAAAATGTCAACTAATAAGACATTCTTTATTTTTAACATAAAAAGGATGGATTTTAGTGTCTTCTTCTCCAACACCCACCCCAGAGAAATCATTTTTTTACTATCGCCGCCAAAATAAAATGGATGCGGGTGTTTTTAATACCTCGAAAACGAAAACAGCTAGCGACCTGCAGTTTTCAGTATTCGAAAGAGCAATGTGGGAGAAGTACAACTATATCAAATTCGATTTGTCAATAATCGACCAATAGGATGAGCGCCCATCGAACATTTTGCAAACTGCCTGGGGAAACTATTTCTCATTGGATTTTAAATTCCAATGTAACCATTCGATGAAAAAAATTGTTCTCTTTCGATCTACGCCAGGCTGAGCTCGCTAGCTTACCTCATTCAAGAGCTATAAATGTTTTCCTGAAATCCTTGAAATCAGTTAGGTAACCTTTAATCATCCTAAAATATGGGTAATCGACCATGCTGGGTCTAGTGGTGATGTTTGTTTTTAGTTTCTAAGCAATCTAAATCAAGATTTCCGATGGTATCACTTCTTTCGATATATACATGAGACTGTAGATAAATCGAAAATTTTGATATATTAACTTTAGATTGCTTTGAAACGAGAAACAAACATTAGTACTAGACTCAGCGTGGTCGATTACCTCTATTGCGATCTATTTTAGGGTGATTGAAGGTTACCTGGCCGATTTCGAGGATTTCAGAAAAATGCTCATAGCTCTTGAACGAGGCAAGCTAGCGAGCTCAGCCTGGTGTACATCGAAAAAGAACAATTTTTCCTATCAAATGATCACATTGTAATTTAAAGTCCAATGCGAAATAGTTTCCCCAGACAGTTTGCAAAATGTTCGACGGACGTTCATCCTATTGGTCGATTATTGATCAATCGAATCTGACATAGTTTTACTTCCCCCCCACATTGATAAAAATTGTACTATTTTAATTGATTTCAAACGAATTTATGGTCATTTTTAGACACGAATCATATTCTTTTGACTATAGTTTATTGCCTATTGACAGTCTCTGATTCTAATATAATCATATATATATATAAAATAATTACTTTAGCAACACATAAACCATAACCTGGTGTAATAATAATTGATGATGCTTCTTTAATTTGATCAACTGTTTGATCAATATTTACTTCTGTATGTGTACCAGTTATTTTCATTGCTTGTCCCTTACCAGTTGAATCCGTACTAAAAAAAAAAAAAGAATAAAAATATCTATTGAAAACGTCAACGCTAGAAACTTTTGTTCAGAGGTGGTTATCAATAAAAAAAATAACTTCAAACGATACAAATTCTTCTTTAAAATCTCTAGATAATGGTAAGAAAAAACTTTTTGTTTCGAGACTTGATGGGATTTCTAACAAATCGGATTTTTTAAAGTCCGATCCTACTGAAAATTTCATTATCAGTATAGCTTATACCGTAGAGTCTACTTTGAATTAACAATCAACTGAAAGAGCTAACATATTTCTATACTAAAAGAACTTATTCAAAAAAATATGTCCTATTTTGCCTGAAATGACTCAAATTATAATTTGACAAAAAAATTTTATTTACCCATAACCACCAAGAATAACATTAGGTAATGAACGATTCATTGCTTTACACATAATATATGATAAAATTGCACCACTACTACCAATAAGTGCACCAACAATGGTCATCAATGAATTATTCAACATAAAACCTCTATAAAAAGAAAATAATCAATATATGTTTCACAGAAAAAAAAAATTTATCGACATACTCAGCACATAATGCCCATCCGGAATATGAATTAAGCACAGTTATAACAACAGGCATATCAGCACCACCAATAGCTATTGTTAATGTTACACCCATTGTCATTGATAAAAGTGATGTTAGACCTAACATTGAAATACCAACAAGTGGATCTGGACTTATCATATAATAACTTAAAGCAGCAATATTAGCAAGTGCTAAACCTGCATTTAATGTATGACGAGCTGGTAATAATATTGGTGCACCACTCATAAGACCTTGTAATTTTGAATAAGCAATTATTGAACCCGAAAATGTTATACCACCAATATATGCACCCAAAAATAATGCTGTCTTAATAACTGATGCTGCTGGATCATGAATAAAATGTTCACATTCTGTAATATAATGTGATATACAAGTAAGTACAGCAGCCATACCAACAAGTGAATGAAAAGCAGCAACTAACTGAGGAAGATCAGTTATAGCAATTCGACGAGCAATAAGTGCACCAAGTACAATACCAGTAGACATTGTTGAACCTATTTGTGTTACTAATGGCATATCCAACTGAATTCCACCAAGTGTTGCAGCTAAACCTATTCAGACAACAAATATCGATTGTTTTATCTTTCTTCTAAAAAAACAAAAAATTTTTTTACCTAATGAAACACCAATCATACCAAGTGAATTACCAAGACGAGCTGTTTTTTGATTATTTAAACCACCAAGAGCACCAACACAACAAAGTGATGCGGCTAAATATGCTAAATGATTTATATCATGATAGTCTTGTTGACTAGCCCATGCATAAAGTCCAACTGCACTTGCACCAGGTATTAAATATAAATAATTATATTCCGGTGGATCGGCTAATTAAAAACGAGCAAAAAACAACTATTTAGTACAATTTCTATGAGATTAAAATGTGAAACACGATGTAACCTGCTGTTACTAATCGCTGGAAGACTGTTTTAGAACACATATTCTCATTATGAAACAAGGAAAATATTGAAAAGAAAATGATATCTCACGAGTGAATGTAAGGGATGCCTGTGTTCCTTCTGTCTTGACCAAAAAACATTTGGAGATGGTACAAGTTAAGGCCTTCCCTCCCTCCTCAAAAATCGATTTTCCCATCAACTCAAGTCAAGCGGGCTGAAATTTTCAGGATATGTTGGGGCTATAATGGGGAGGCTATGGTAAAATTTTCAGCTCGATACCATGATGTTTGACAGAGATATGAACCAAACAAGGGTTGAGAAATAGTTCATTTTCTGTCCAAAATTTCTTGGTTCAGGCTCATTCCACATGTTTAAATTTTTTCTCTGTTAGAAAGAGCATGCCAAGATGCAAGGCATCACAGAGCCCTCTTTTTTAAATTCTTACTTTTTTAGCGAAGAAAGTGGATTACAAGTTCAATAACTCAAAAAAATGGGTGTCTAGTTACATAAATGTCTGTATATATAATAAAAATAAAGCTTAATTTAAAAAAAAGGTCTCTGTGGTGCCCTGCATCTGGACATACTCTTTCAAACAAGAAAAAAATTTTTAAGTGTTGAAAGAGTCTATATCGAGAAATTTTGGACAGAAGATCAAAAAATCATGAATCGAGACAAAACGAAAAAGATATTTTGGTTTTTCAAAAAGAGGTTCTCAGAAATCTTGAAAATTTTGGCAAAATGAGGTATCGAAGAAAAACTTTTATCGTTTATCAAAAAGCAAATGATGGGCTATCTTCCCATGCATTTATCTCAATTTCGAAAATTCTGATGAGAATTGACATTTTTTGAGGGGGGGGGGGGGGG